AGGTAACTGATTTTCTCTGGGTTTTGAACATGTGTAATATAAATAAAGTTAAATTTAATGTAATTGATTATGCAGAATTTATAATTGTACACAAAAAAGAATTGAAGAGAGGCAAATACCCCTGGAATGTTAAGGCCGGATGGGCGAGCAGTCAAGGTGGCAGCCTACCGCTCTGGGGACCCAGGTTAGAATCCGAATGGGTCGAAAAATCCGCAGGAATTTTTCGGGGAGTGGTCCGTTCAGATATGTTGGGCCCCGTCCCTCACCACCCGGTCGCCCCATTGTGGGCCTGGCCGAACCCATAATGAGTCTGCTTTAAGAGGCTCTCTTAGTGCCCACAGGGCGGAAAGAGTAAAAATAAAACCCCCGGAATGCTTATCCACCATTTTGTACAAATATAATATATGATGCAAAATAGTCTATTCTCTTCGTCATGTGTGTTTCTGTATGATAAGTTCTACACAACAATTTTATACTTTTTCTCCAATGAATTAAGTCCTACCCCTATGGAGATATGACACACACGGCCGTGCCGTGCTATGATGCAGAGAGGTGCCGCATCAGGCAGTAACGTAAAAGGGCGGTCTAAGCAGCATTTAAGGGGCGGCATTTCTAAGACTTGCATCAGGCCCACCAGTGGTTGAGCGGTCTTCGTCCCCGCACTTGAATGGACTAGACCCTGAACACTGAGTTCGGTTGTGGGTTCGCGCCTCGCTCGGACGGGCTGGTAGTACGGAGTTTTCCGGGTTTTCTCTATGTCGATGACACCTGAATAGGTGCCAGTTTCCCCATAAAATTCCTCCCGGGAGGCATTCTTTCCCCGCGCGCAATTAGGCCATTCTATAAGGTCGGCTCTTCGGTCGCATGGCAATCAACTACATGTCTCTCGGAAGTAAAGGTGTACAGTCGTAAGACCCCATATGAATTACCATCTACTGAAAGAAAAGACTTGTATCTACCGCATGGCCCTGGTGAAAGGAAAAAATTTGTGTGTGTTGTAGTCTAATTTGTTTAATATCTTGGGATTTGGAAGTAATTAAGAAATGAAATTTAGCATGGCAGTTTGTATATAAGGGGCATTGATGCGTTAAATTTTGGAAATTAACGGGATGGAAACATAGTGGGGTTCGGACTTAAGATTTTACTCGTTATTAGCATTTACCATTTTTTTATAAAACTTATTCCTATCTTCAGAATTACGCTTTTGCCATTTTATAATAATTATGAGATTTTTTAAAATAAAAACTAATTATGGAAGCAGCAACACGAAAGGAAAGTTTTATAATCAAGGATTTAAAAATAAAGTAACTATTTTTAAAAGACGTAGCCAAATTATGAGATTTTTTAAAATAAAAACTAATTATGGAAGCAGCAACACGAAAGGAAAGTTTTATAATCAATCATCTAAAGACAAGATAATAGCCGATAATCATCCAATTATCACAATTTTCTTAAGTTGGATGTTAAAAATTTTTCTTATCATCTACATTCTAGTGATTATAATATTGAAAAAAATACCTTTTAAATAGTAGAAAAGGGATATTTATTTTAAAAAATTTTATACGAGAATATTCATATGAATAATCAACATTAAACACGATATTCAGAGCCAACGCAATAGATGAGTTGCGTGGCAAATTTTTACATGGAAAATATTCTTATATAAAATAATTGAAATGAATAATTAATATAACGTAAATAAATGTAGGTTTTAATTATTTTGATTCTACACGTGTTTTTATTTCCAGGAATTTAATGACACTTATTTATAAATAAGAACTAGAAATGTTCGCTTTACGACGGATTTTCGGGGATCACAGCAAAAATTTCTCAACTATTTTTTCATATTTCTATCCAAAAATTCCATTTTTAACTGAGAAAATAAGTCTAGAAAAAATGAAAAAAGTAGAAAATCGGTTCTAGAACCTAACAATGATTCAATTTAAAATCCAGGAAAGGATACAGATCAAATTTTTAAGTAAAAAGTATCGATTTTTGTAATTTAATAAACACGTATTTAAAAATATATATTTAACACTTTATTTATTTAATTTGATAATTTTTAAGCTTTAATCTATTCTTTNAGTCTCCAAAAATCGTGGAACGCTCAAAGCTCACTCCATTTGTTCCACTGACATATAACGTTTATGGATGTAAAGGACAGCTAGACCTACCTTACTCGCTTTAGTTCCTAGCAAATTTTGATATAAATGTAATTAAACCTAAAAAATACTTAGAACTGAAAAAAAATGAAAGAAATGCGTTAATTTTGAAGAAAAAGCTTCAAAGTTTAACTTCCTTTGTCTCGTCCTTCTGTGAAATTTAATACCGATGAGTCATTGTTTACACATCTGGATGACACAGCTGGAGTTGGATTTCCCGGGGCATTCTCATAGACGTCGCGGGAGGACAAGGGTTTAAAGTAGGGTGAACAATAGCTGGCCGTATATTTTTAAATATTTTTAAAAAATTAAAATTTTTATTGCGATTTCCGACCCCCCTAATTAATTAAATTTATATAAAATAAAATCTATTAATTAAAACAATTTAAAAACTATTGGAGGTCGTTTNTTTGTCAAAAGTGGCGTTAACTACCGAGTTTTTCGTAACGCTATGTAAACTTGACGAGTTTTATCGTCAATGGGCGTTATTAATTAAAAAATTAAATTAATTTCTGCAAACTTTTTTATGCGGTTTTAAGTTAATTTTAACTCGTTGTTTTGGTTTTATGCGATTTTAGAAAATTACGGAACGTATACCTACTTTTTCAAGGCAAGTAAAGTCTTTTTTTATGAGAATTTTTTATATGCGCTTTTCTGTAGAACGTATCCACCGCATAAAACGAGACCTTACAGTATACTTTCCCAGCTGTTATATACCGTATAACAGAAGAAAAGTATGGCAATTGGTAAAAAAAAAATGACCTCCCCAAGATTTTTATATTTTTGGCTTAGGACACCTTGAAATGTCGATAAATGCAAAAGAATTCGGAGTAATTTCTGTATGTATGGATGCTTGTGGTGGGGAGGCATGATTTTGTTCACCCTCTTTGAAGCTTAACTCCTGTGCTTTTTGTCTAAAATTTCTGAAATTTTGTAGGGAGGTTTCTCTATTAGGGAAATTGATGCTATTAAATTTTGGTGTTTAATGGTCGAGGGGGTGGGGGTAGGGAGATAATGGGGGTAGCTTGTATCTTTAGTAGAGTTGGACTTAATAATGAGTAAAATCATTATTAGCATTTACAATTTTATTTTTTTTTTTTTTTATAAAACTTATCCCTACCCTCAAAATTAAATTTTTTCCATTTTATAAGTTAAAAATATAAAAGTTCTTTAATAAAATATGATTAATAGATGTGAAAAAAAATCTATTAAAGCACGAAGCAATTTTTATAATATAAATGAGCAAATATTTATTGTGACAATGCCAGGCTGCAATTTTTAATTATATTTTAAATTTATTTAATTTAAAATACATGCTCTCCACTTCAAATTTGTAGTGATTTGCCCCTGTATATCATGCTTTTCCTATTAGCAAGCCAGCCATCTAACTCCTTTTGGAAGGGTGAAATGTTTGAATTGAAATAACGGTTTCCATCAGAAGTTCATATATAGTTAATCGGGGCATCGTGCCCCGAAGCTTTCCATATCTCGTCTCGGATTTCATCTAACTCCATTCTCTAGATCAGGGGTCGCCAAACTTTTTTGCCTGTCGACCCCCAATCACTTTCCAAATTTTCACATTGACCCCCACTGTAAAGTTTTATTACAAGTGTATGTGTACGAGCAAAAAAAACGTTGTAGGGTTTCTGTCTGAGCAAAAAAAAAACAGGTTGTGACCCCTTAGCCGCATCGACACCATAATCGACCTCTTAACCGCATCGACCCCCGAATGATGTTGCATCGACCCCTGGGGGTCCATATCGACCACTTTGGCGAACCCTGCTCTAGATTAAGGAAGGTCAGACAGACAATCAGATGAATGAGAGTAGGAATTTATAGGTTTACAATTAGAAAAAGATTTCAGATAATACATTATTAAGCTGCAGTGTGTGAATCAAAAATTGTTATCTTCATTCTCTCTTATTGATGGAAGTAAGGTAAATATTGTATATTACTCTCAAAATATAGGCCTACAAAATAATAATGTATTTTGTGAAAATTATTTTGGAAAAAATTTTTATAACATAAAACTAATTAGAAAATACGTAAACAGTTTTACCCGTGTTTTAATATTTTCTTTATCTGGAAATATGTGGAATTTTTCATTAATTAATATTTTTGTAATTTGAATTATGTTAATGAATACATTTGAAAGATTCCGCTTTGTCGAAAATATTTTTTATTTCAAAATGCCATTGTTAATCTAAATTATTCTTCCAGACTAGTGTTGTAATATCATAACGTGAGTAACGAATTCGTATTTGTATCAAAGCAATAGAGAGTTCGTAACAGAAGCCATGTTTATCCTCGTGTGTTGGCTCTGGTCAAAGCGGCTTATTCTCTTCCCACTAGCAGAGGCCACCACTAAATTAAGTTGTAAAGTTTAAACACGAAAAATGTAATCGATGGTTTTTAGTTCTTTTGTTTTCTTGCAAAATTTTGAAATAAGTTGTTTTGTAGTACAATAAAACATCAACAGTCTTAAAGTGGGGTTACAAAAGGATTGATGTACAGTACAAAACTATAGAATATCGTACTGAATCCTGCCAAAAGTTTAAGACAAATTATAAAGTAAACAAAAATAAATAAATCACATAATATTTAACATTACAATATACAATAGTTCAAACTTTTGTACATGGTAATGTATTAACACTGAATAATAGAGTACAGGTACAGTGAGAATCACAAATATTTAAGAGAATGCTAACAATAGTCAAAAATGCCAGATGCCATTCTGACTAATCTTCACCAAAATCTGAAAGATTATACTGTGCAATATTTTGTATGATTTTCTCAAGTAAGGTTTTATTCTACAAGGCTGATAAAAATAAGCAATTTTGTATTAAATTTTTTAATTTTTTTCAAATTTACAAGTTACCTAATTATTTACAAAACTTTATTGTAAATGGTATGAATGGAATGATTGCTACAGTTTGTAAAGGCTAACATTACTTTAAAAATTACTTTTGTTACAAAGATAAACAATATATATGCACAAGAGAACACCTGACCAACATAATGTTAAACAGTTCAGATGTTCTCCGCCAAAGGTATTGAGCTCTGTTTTTAAACTTCAATGGTCTGCAAGAATTTTTTATAACTTTCTTCGTCCATTAAAGAATTGATTTCTTCCACTTTTGTCAGCTGCAATTTAAACAACCATCCTAGAAAAATGAAATAAAAATAAATGCCAATATATGTTATTAAGAATTTCATCCAATAATATATTTATATAAATACAAGAATAATAAGTATAAGCACTACATTGCCAAAAAATCCAAATTACTGGAATTAGAGATGAAAGTTAGTATTTTGACATGTTTCTTTTTGCTGGATATCTTCAACTGGCAACATATACAAGTAGACTGCAGGTTGGTAATGTGTGGCTTTCTATTATACAAGGTGTCTATAATTAAAGTTTAGCTATGCCTAGTAGTCTACAGCAAAAATAACTTATTGGAAGGTTAACTAATTTTCAATGTCTTAATGAGGACAGAGAAGAAAGAGGGGAAAAATCAGTTACCACTGTCACCACAGGGATACTTTAAACTTTTATTCTGAACATCACAAAGTAGTACAACAGTGATCAGTTGTTTAATCAGAACAAAATATGTTCAGTATGCTGTCCTCTGTTCTTTGCAATCATCTAAAATCTTACAATAGCATGTTCAATTGTTGAGCACAGTATATTCTGTGAAACATTGCATGTGTGGCATAATATGATTTCTTCAAGATCTGTCAAAAATGTTACATTGTCACAATACACCAGTTCTTTGATATAGCCCCAAAGCCAAAATTATATGGATTCAGGTATGAGGACCATGTAGACCAAACAGTAGAGAAATGGTGGCAGATGCCCGTCATTGGAAGAATGGCTGTTTAATGCAATTGGCTGTGTGGAGGAACACCATCCTGTATGAACAGTATTGTTCCAAGATACCGACATTGTTGGAATGCCAGAATAACTGTACCCGTCAACAATGATCAGTACTGGATTAACCAATAGACAAAAAATACAAATGTCTGGGGCCTGGATTCAGTGCATAAAAATAAACAAAAAATAAGTAAAAAAATTTTTAAAAAATAAAACAGTCCAAACATAACTATTAGGCATGTTAACCATGGCACATAAATGGTACTGTGCCTATTCCAGCCACAGAATGTTCCATGACCATTCACACAACCTCACAACAAACAAGGAACTGTAGTGCAAAGGCTCCTCAAGCATTCAGATCAATAGGCAGCAGCTGCTGAGCAGGCAAATTTTGTAAAGATAGCAGCACAGAATATTCCAAAGAATTTTGTGGACCATAGCAACAGGCTTTTGCAAGGCAGCAAATACTATTGCTGCCCATAGGATTTGATATCCTGTCATCTTCCACTTTTGTCACTACATCCTGAATTATCTGTGTGGTAAGACACTCATCTTCCAGGTTTCAGTGAACAATCCCCTTTATTCAATTTCATGATAATTTTTTGCAGTTCATTAGCAATAACTGAACCTCTTCAAAGCCCCTTCAATGATCAAAATCTCCAGAAAGCTGCTGGTGTGAGTTATTGTTTTAGTAAAACAGTTTCACCACTAAAGCATGTTCTTATAACGTTCTTGTTGTTTTCAATGGCAAAAAATGGCAATTAAAATGATTCTGTAGAGGTTTAAATACTTTGTAATGATGCATGAGCAGACAATGACATGATAACAAAGATTAGCATGTCTGATATCTTAACATGGAAAAATGCCCTTACTGGTGACATTTAGAACTAACCTTTTTTGTCCTTATTTTCCTTCCAATGGTCTCATTAAGATGTACTGAAAATTTGGTGATCTTCTGATAGGTAAGTTTTTGTTGTAGACAGCTTGGAATAGGTTAATTATAGACCCCTGTAAATCAATGGGAGGACTTGTTTGTTAAGACAAATGAACAGCTGGTTAAGCATATCAGGCACCAGCTTCACCACTGACTGATAAGACAATCACAAATAAATAATTATATTTTTGTAACATTTGCAAATTGGAAAAGAGCTGCTACTAAATTTTGTTTCTGTATTAGTTTGAAGAAAAAGGGTCATTATAATTAACTATCCTCTCTGTACTCACTAAAATTCAACTAGTATTATTCTGAAAAATCAAAATGCAAATAAAGGCCAACTTTTGCAGAGTATGGAAACCATCAAAGTAACTACTCAATATGATGGAGAAACTAAAAAGAATTTTTGAAGAGGTTTTCTAACAACTTCACAATAAGTATAGTCAGAGGAAGGGATCATACAGAATGTTAAAGTTTAATTCCTTATCTGTAATAGTTTTTATTTTATTCATTCATTCCAAGAACTTTCTTCCAAAGTATCTATATACAAACAGTAGGACAGTGTATACAACCAACTGCTAATGCTTGATAAAATTTTTAATAAAGCAATAAATCCTACCTTCATCATAACAAGATTTATTTATTAATCCAGGAGAATCTTCTAAATTCTTATTAATTTCTGTAACTTTTCCAGACACAGGAGAATATATTTCACTAGCAGCCTTGACACTTTCTATAACACCACATTCATCTGTAAAAATTATAAAACATAGAATGAGGTAACAAACAAACAAAACCTGAAAAACTTTCTAATTCCATTTATTTTCTTTCTTAATTTCTAATTTTATTTACTGTAATTCCCTAACTTTATCCATTTTATATTTTCATATTAAATAAAATTTCATTTTGTATGAAATTAGGGAATGAAAACAGGGTCTATTGTAACAAAAACTTGTCTATTGTTGACATCAAATTAAATCTAACCATTGAGGATGTTTCTAAACTCCTTGGTATGAGCAACACCATTGGGGAGCAATGACATCATTTTAGAGAGAAAAGAGAAAACTCATTGTTACTACATGTTTTGATGCTGCTGAATAATGGCTGATACAGTATGTGTTTATTCATTATGCAAATTGTTTTTATCTACAAATTGTTTAACTGTAAAAAAAAATGTCTTACATTAAGTATGGAAGAAAATATGTTAATTCTAGAAGTAATATAAGAGGGAGGAAACAAAGGCAGATAGTATGCTGAGATAGTAGGATTCGTGAAAGAAGTTATACCATGCTATACTGATGTTATTTTAAACATCATATTAGACTGAACCGGTATACAGTTTAAGTAAGTACATTAAGAACTGAGATCTCATTATTATCCACACCTAAAGTGAATTTAAGATCTTCATATATAAAATGAAGAGCTTCATCTCTTCTATGGTGACTGCCATTTTGAAGTTTAAATCATCTTCTAGTAGTCATCAGACTGCAATGGCTCTAACGACTGTTGGAATTCAATGAAGCTATGGGGCTCAATGGTCATATGATTTATGCATGACCATTTCTAATCCTCTGTTGCTAACAAAGGATTAGAGATGTTTCGTCACAGTTTGTGACAAAACTGTAAAGTTTAGAAACATTGTCATTGTTTCAGCAGTTTGTTAATTCAATACCTGACTGTTTTTGAATACAGCTCGTTGTCAAACGAAATGAATCTCATTAAAGAATTCATGGTAAGCACAATTTCTAATGTTTCTCTATAGTATCTTGTTACTTCTAAGGAAAATTTTTCAGATAAAACATCTTGTTATTTGTAGTTTTAATAGAATTTATAAGTTATATTTGGAAAACTGTGCTAATTTTTTTTTTTTTTTTCAAATTTCAAATCTGACTGCACTTAGATTTAGCATTAAAAATCCTTTAAAACAGTGTCCCATAAGATATGGGTTAGGTTACTATTTAAAATTACAACTATTTTGGCTTCAAGTCCAAAGATTAAACTACTTTTGACGAAAACAAAAGAGCTCCATGGTGTAGGTTTTTCTGTTTTGGCTTGATACAATTTACTACAAGGTATGGTAAGCAGGCTTGTGTGTCTCTAGATCCTGTCATTAGCAACTTTGCTACCAATAGGGATATCCAGGAAACAAATCAGAGCATAGGTGCTGAACTAAGGTAGGATCACTGGTCCTCCAAATTGTGTGTGGAACCAACATACCATCCCTATCATGTAAAAACTTTCAATTCCTAAATAAAAGCAAAAGGAAAGAAAGCAGGCTCTGGAAGTGGTGGCTCCTAACCTCGAGAGTTATTCTCACTAACCAGGAAGCAACAAAACCAGAATAGGCTAATGAGAAAATAAAGCAGAAGTGTGAATGTTGATTGATCGTGTGGAATATAAGAGGAGCTAAAAGTAAAGTGAACAAATTAATAAGGGAAATAAACTGAAGGCAAGTTAGATGTTCTTTGCATGAGTGAGAGGACAATGAAAGGCAAGGAGTGTATGGATGTGAACAGGAATGTATTGATCTGTTCTGGTGTGCAAGAGTAAGTATTTTAGTTAATGCAAACAAAGAATACTTGAAGGAGTATAGTAATACTTGTATGCTCCAGTGGATGCTGAAAAGAATGAGTTTTGGAAAAAGTTACAATATGTCTTTGATAAGTGTGACACTCAGGAATGTGTAATTATAACTGGAGATATGAATGGTAGGTATGAAGAGAGACATCTGAGAGAGTGCTAGGTCTAAATGGTGATTCTTGGATGAACAATAATAGAGAGCATTTGGTCGAGCTCAGCGTGGAAAGAGAACTATGGGTACCAAACCCCTTTTTTCCACACAAGACCATTCAGTAGTACATGTGGGAAAAATCATACAAAAGGTCAGGAGGATAATAGATTTTGTTATGTATGATGATAGATGGAAAGATGTAGTGGAGGATACAAGAGTTATGAGAGCAATTGACTGTGGCTCAATTACTTAGTAGTATTGAGAGTGCAATTGAAGATTGGGTGGCAGAACAGAGGAAAACAGAAGGTTTGATGAGTAGAAAAGATGAATAAGAAATAGTGATGTGCTGGATATCTGTATCCGTATCTGTGGATATCCAAGGGTAAAAAAAGATCCATATCCGTTACTTTTTAGCAGATCTTTAACGGATCTTTTATCTTAATGAATTTCATTACTTATATGAAATTTTAAAGATAGGTAGCAATAGCACATTTGTCATTTACTATCATAAAATATTTCCATATTACACTACTAAACTTTTTTGTTGACATTGTTTTTATTTTAATTTAACTCAACACTCTCCAAAAACACGAATGTAATCTATGCTATCCCGTGTCATACTAGCCACAAACCAGTGTTCCCAATGTGGGGCCCACGCCCCACAGAGGGCAATTGGATTGCTAAGGAGGGCAATTCGAAAATGTACTTGTCCAGAGTTTAAGTTAACTGTATAGCTGCTGTATATGTTAGGGAGACATAAGAATTTTAGAAAGGCTTAGGTGGGGCATAGCACAAAAAAGGTTGGGAAACACTGCACTAAACTATTGTGGCGGTACGCTATATTTTTGTAAATATTAATTTTAGTTTAGTTTCGTTTCTTATTTCTACCCTTTGTTCTATTGTTCTATTTTCTTCTAGAACTTTCTTATCTATTCCCTGTCCCTTGGGTGGGATGAGCAGTTCCTAGAAATTTGAGGAGCAAAGGTGTAAGCAGGAGCCGGAGAAAAAAGAGAAGTGATGTAGCAGGTCATTCGTAAACCGGACGGCAGAGTGTACAGACGAGGTGAGAATACTGGGAGTCATATTTTCAATGACCAGATAGTTCAGAAATAAGTTCAGAAAAAAGATCCTGTTTTAAGGTCATTTTGACGACTGTGGAAGGAAAAATCCTAATTATTGTACAAGAGAACTGGCCAGTTATAGGAAAAGGACATGTGTTATCCCACCCAATAGCACGCATAAAGAAACAAGCCGAAAAAGAGACAAAACCCCAGATATCTCTATTTCTATCTTATATATCATTTTTTCTGTCTTCTTAATTCTATCCCTTTTTCTGTTATTAGTGTTTAAGGTTAGTTTTAAGGTTTTGGGTTATATTGTCGTAATTGGGATCTGTATTGTACACGTGCTTTGGATATAGCAAACTATTATTATCACTGTAATTTCACATGCTACTGTTTGTACCATGAAGTTGGAATCCCCAAAATAGAATCTGTATAAAGACGCGAAATAGCTTAATTGGAAAATTATATCAACTTTTGTTACTTTATCCTGTCTGCCTTTGTGGTGAATTCTAATTTATCACACTTTCACACTATAAAGACGCGAAATAGCTTAATTGGAAAATTATATCAACTTTTGTTACTTTATCCTGTCTGCCTTTGTGGTGAATTCTAATTTAGCACACTTTCACACTATAAACAAAAACACGCACAGTGCAAGTCAAAACACGTTGCATTATTAATGCAAAGCGTCAACTATCGGTCCAAGGTCACATGCAACGGTGCCGACTGAGCACGAAAGTAGAGATCCGTATCTGCGGATCTAGACACTAATGATCTGTATCCACGGATATACATTTTTAACGATCCAGCACATCACTAATAAGAAAGCATGTTGTGTTGATGTGAAGGAGTTTTGGAAGCATTTGATTTCACTTTCTTCATATTTCTATCCAAAAGGGAAATCTTCACTTTTGATTTTCTCGACAGCCTTGTCCATGACATTCATTTCAAAATATCAACTGAATTTCAGGAAAGGAAAAGAAGTTCTAAAATTTGAAAGCATTTACAATCTTGTGTGATAGAAACAGTAAAAGAGGTTTGTAGTGTAACAAAAACAGGCTGTGAGAGAAGGACTGCACAATGGAATGACAGAGTTAAGCAAAGCAGTGAAAGAAAAAAAGGCTACTTACATAGGCAGACTGAATGGCAATATGAATGAGATGAGTACAGAGCAAAGAAATGAGAAGCTGCACAAATGATCAAGGAAAGTAGACAGAATGAAGAATGGACCAAGCATTTGCAAGGGGCATTTAATTAAGGAAAATAGAAAACTGTTCTGAAAGCAAATGAAGAGTACACATGGCAGCAGACAGAAAAGTGTACCCTGTGTATGAAGTGCAAATGGTGAGAAGGGGATGAATGTGAAGTCATTAATAGGTAGCATGAATATTTTGAGAGCCTGTTGAGAGGCAATGGAAATAGCATGAATGGAGAAACAGTTGCAGAGATAAATGAAGATAGTGAGTAATGAGGCAATTGATTAAGAATACAATAAGAAGAATGCAAAATGACAAATTTCCTGGTCTGGATGGTGTGACTGCAGAAATGTTAAACAACACCAAAAGTCGATTTATTTTATTTATTCTAAAAAGTCATACTGTTTTTTTAATTAATACTTTTATAATTAATATCAGAAATGCTTAAGCAAAAAAGAAAAAATAAAGATTTTGTAATAATCATACCATCTTGATTAAGATCATCTCCAACTTCTGGAAGTTGAACAAAGACAACATCTCCTAATGCCTCCTGCAATCAGTAACATTAATGACAAATAAATTTTTCACTTGATTTCATTTTACTTCATTTACAGGTCTACAAAAATCAAAGTGAACATTATATAGTAATGAAAATGATTTGTGTAATGATGTGGGTAACATTTGAATAGTAAAAAGTCTAGCAAGTGCATTTGTCCAGAATAGTTATCTAGGACATAGTGAATTAGAAAATAAGTGATGAAACAGTTGAGATAATTAGAACTCTTTTAGAACTTGGGTGGTCCTTTAGACAATTTCAGAAGAATTGAAAGAAGAAAGGACAATGCACTTCCATTGGATAGATTTCAAACATTAAAAATGGTAAGCAGAGAGCATCCAGACAAGGATCAAAGCAGGGGTAGTTGAAAATGTATCTTATCAAAAGGTGACATTACAGAGATTAAACACTATGGCCAGTATAGAAAAACCATTAAAACAATCAGATATCTGATTAAGTCAACAAGTAACCAATTGGAAGAAAATGGGCTTTAAACTTGTCAAGAAACCTAAATGCCTTGAGCTTTCCAATGGATCCATCCAGGAGAGATACTGTAGATCGTGTCCATTGTATCACACACTGAAGAATAATAAGTGCAAAAGTTTATCACAACTGATGAAGCTTGGTTCTATCTCACAAAATCTCAAGGCAAGAGGAAGGTCTGCTACATTAACAGGAGCCAAAATCACTCCAAAGCACCATCATCAATTTCAGCATCTCAATCGCAAAGGGTTATGGTTTGGACCAGAATTTCAACAAGGGCTAATAACAAAGCCAAATTTTGTGGAACCTAGGGCAAAAGTATCATCAAAATTCTACATTGAAAAATTCTTTGTCCTTCCAGTCAGATGCCAAGAGACTGTTTCCAGATGATAACTTTATACAGTATTTCATCAAGTCTCTGTGCCTTCACTTATGGCAAAGGCTACAATTTCATTCCTATAAGAAAGTAAAACTGTATTTATCAAACCCTCACAATGGTTCCCAAACAGTCTCAATACTGCTCCCTGCAATTATTTCTTTTGGGCTACTTGAAACAGAGTAAAGAAACGAAACATGTGCACATTAGATAGATTAAAACATGTCATTTGGGAAAAAATAACAGAAGTCCTCAAGAGTATCAGATTGGGCTCTAAAGGCTTGGCCATGTAGTGTGTGTTATGCAAAAGGTAAACACACTGAGAAACATGATTATATGTAAGATTTATAGCAAAATAAAAGTGTTCACTTTGAGTTTTTTTTAGACCTGTATATTGGTAAATAATTTGGAATATAAAATTAGTTCTCTTTGAATATATGTTTATTTTGTGACAAAATAAAAAATATGTATTTATCCTTATGAACAATTGACAAATTTCATAATATATATGATTACTTTTCATAATTTCATATACATGTTGATATATCAAATTAAATAATAAAGTACAGGCACTAAAATTAATTTTTGATATTCATCAATCACTCATTTTCCTTTGAAATGAGTGATTGATGATTATTATTTACTATATTGAAGACTATTGATTTAATATTACAACTTCAGAAATCCTTAATGCATCCTGAAGAAGAAAGAACTTCTCAATTATTACAACAGACTAAAATAATACAAAACAAAATTAAACATATACAGTAAAACCTTCTTAAGATGACCACTTCCAAAATTTAGGGAAACAGGCCATCTCAAGGGAAGGTTTTGTTAAAGAGGGTGACAAAACTATAGTATATAGATATAATTAGTAATATGTACAGTAATACTATTCCATATATGAAAATTAAAAAATTCATACCTAAACACAACTCCAGCAATATAATTTTAACAGACAAGAATGTTTTCTAAAAATAACTCTTACTTTTAACCTTGTAACTGGAGTGGTAAAAATACATCAGCGAATGTTTTCGACACCCCTTCTGGGCTCTTTCTCAGGCTTTTTCTATAAATACTGAGCTGGACGTTGAAAATCGAATACTTTCTTTTGAGCCATTTATCTTTCGAATTGGATTCGAAAGATAAATGGCTCAAAAGAAAGTCATGCTGATTTTTCACACATATAATGAAAAATCTGAGATAGTATCTTGTATCTAAAATCAGTATAAGAAAACCTGCACAGAATGTGAAACTTCAACATTTGCAGTTGCAAAAGTCTTGAAAAAGCAAAGTAGTTTAAAATGAAAATTTTCAAAATAAATGGATTTGGCATCAGATAAGATAACCAACTAGCTTGTGCATAAACTTAAGTCTAGCATTTACCATAAAGTCCATTCAGCAGAGTATAGTGTTGCTTAAGGAGATTTTGAACTGTTTTGTAATTATAATAATGATGTGCAATCTTAAAATAAATAATGTTAATTTTGTATGTCCTGTTGGTTTTCATTTGTGGGAAATTGTCAGTGTAGCACTTTTGGCATGTTTACCTTTACATTTTATGTTAACATTAATTTATTTATCTGGTTTGTAAATACTAAATATGTTATTCTTATGCATATTTAAATAACTGAATGTCTGCATGTAGTTTGTTTATTTTTTCAAACCTGAAGATTTATGAATTAGCTGAAAACATAAATATTTACTTCCAGAGTAGAGCCAAGATTGTCTTGGTGGTGTCATAAAAATAAAAATGAACCAAAAACCATCAAACAGGATATTAAAATTTATAATTGTTAATATAAATAAATTATAAGATAGTAAAATTTTAAAATCTTTTAAAAATTAGCTTACTTGAGCATAATTTGAAATGCCAATGGTACCGATTTTTCCATCGACTGACACCCATTCGTGTTTCTCTGTATATTTTCGAGCTGAAAATAAATACATTTTTATAACAATCACAGCCATACAATTTTATAAAGTTCAATCTATTAACATTTTATAAAATTAAAATAAACATTTCAATTAAATATAGTGTGAATTATTTGCATATTTTATTGCATCTTAAAAAAAAATAAATAAATACATTTCAGACTCAATAACTTAAACCAATCAAATTATCATTAAGATATCTGTAAAGTAAATAAAAGATACTTTTATTATTTACTAGCTGCAAGGACCCGCTTCGTTGTGTTTTTATTTGTATGTAATATAGTTTGTTTTATATATAAAAGACTGTTTTTCTAAGTAATCTAGAATCTAGCTGCAAGGACCCACTTCGCTGGGCGAAAAGTAACGATAGTGAAGATTAAGATAATTACATTATAGCCAATCTTACCCGTTTTCATAGAATGCAAGAATTAGGTCCCCCGTTTCCAGACTAATTAGAGAATTTTTACATGAGCCTAAAAATAAGTTCGATTTCCCGCAAAAACGCAAAAAACCGTCTGTAAATCTTGCATGCCGCTTTATATTAACACTTCCCTTGTTACTCAACACTTCCATTGTTACACATCTTCGAAGTCAACCACTTTCAACCCCATATCTCCCGCACCCTTATAGCTATCAAGACGCAACCACCATAGTGCACGAATGGAGACTTGGGGCTACTACCACATACAAACACCATTCATGTGCGATGTGTTGTTTTGGCTGAAAAGTGAAATATAGGGACACACACGTCCATTTATATATATATATATA